GGGGGGGGGGCAGCCAAACGAAGAGAGATGGCACCTTTCATTTCTCTTTTCAGGTGGCTCTGGCTTTTGTCAGCTTGGAGGGACTTGGAGGGGTTTAAAGCACCTCCAGAGGCTGGTGAATAGAAGGGGTTCCAGAAGGAGACGGCCTTAATGTCTGCTGGTCCGTCGGGCTGGGGGAGGGCAAATCCTTCCTGAGCCAGAGTGAGGGGGAGCTTGCTGGAGAGGTCCAGGAGGGGCGAGTGCGTGGGGCCGGGAGGCATCTCAGCTGCTACTCAAGGGCAGCATCAGCATCACCTAAAAGCTTGTTAGAAATGCAAATGTTGGGCTCACACCTGCCAGAATGGCTGTCCTCAATAAATCAACCAAAGGCAAGTGCTGCTGAGGGTCTGGAGAAAAGGGAACCCTAATGTGCTGCTGGTGGGAATGCAGGCTGGTGCAGCAACTACGGAAAACAGTGTGGAGTTTCCTCAGAATATTAAAAATGGAGCTGCCGTTTGACCCAGTGATCCCACTTCTGGGAATATATCCTAAGAAGCCAGAAACACCGAGCAGAAAGAATTTATTCACCCCTATGTTCATAGCAGCGCAATTTACAATAGCTAGATCTGGAACAGCCCAAGTGCCATCAGTAGATGAGGGGATAAAACAGCTGTGGGACATTCACACCATGGAAGACGACGCAACTGTAAAGAAGAAAGAAATCTGACCCTTTGCCACAGCACGGAGGGAGCCGGAGAGTATTATGCTAAGTGAAATAAGCCAGGCAGAGAAAGACAAGTATCACATGATCTCACTTATACGTGGAATCTAATGAACAAAAATTGATGAACAAAATAGACCCAGAGACACTGAAGCATAGAACAGACTGACATATATCAGAGAGAAAGGGGTGGGGTGGGAAGAGATTAACCAAAGAACTTATATGCATATAGGCATAGCCCATGGACAGAAATAGTGCAGTGAAGGCCTGGGGAGGGGTTAGGAGGGGGGCAGAGGGGTCAATGGGGAACAAAAAGGTCCCATCTGTAATACTTTCAACAAAAAAGATAACTTTTTTTTTAAAAGAAATGCAAATGTTGGGGCCCCAACCCCAGACCTACTGAGGAAGGATCTCTGGGGGTGGGGCCCAGGAATCTGCAAACAGTTGAAGACTGCAAGCACTCAGGGTGATGTGAGCCCTGATTGGCTATTTGACGGCACATGGAACTTCTAAAATATTTTCAAATGTGCAAACAGTATTGTGGTCATTTTTAGTTTTGAAAGATTCCTTTTCTCTTAGAGATGTGTATGAAGTATTTACAGGTGGAATGATCTGGAATCTGGCCTGTGCTTCAAACTGCCCGGGTGCAGAGGAAGTGGGGGAGGATGCCGATGAAACAGGACGGGCCCTGCTCTAGAAATTGGAGAAGCTGGTGAAAGGTACATGGGGATCCATTATCCTGCTTCCTCTATTTTTATTTGTATGTGAAAATGTCAATAATAACAGGTAAAGAGCAACAACCAACGAAATAAAAACCCCCACCCCCAAAGCGCACCTCGAGCGGCCTGCAGTTTTTGATCTTGTGCCCCATTGCTCTGGGAGAGATGCATGGCTTTGTGGCCTGGAGGGGGCACAGTCTGCTCCTCTGGGCACCCCCCTGCAGTACCCAGGAGTGGAAGGGGGCTGGGGCAGGGAGGAGCAGGGCTGACAGGCCCTGGGCCAGCCCGGGGCCACCATGGACTCCCTCTAGCTAGTGTGGTTCTAGCCCTAGTGGGGGCCTTTGCTCCCGTGGTCTTGGTAGAGACTGTGCGCAGCACTCTGCCACTGAGGACTTTTCAGAGAGGCCCCTGGGCCCCCCTTTGGGTCCTCCCCCAGCCCTCCGGCCCAGCCAGGCAGCCTGAGCTCCCCCTCCTCTTCCCAGCTCCTCAGCTTCTTCCCAAGATACCCCAGAAACCTCTGAGGTCTCCTCTGAGCATGACAGCCAGGAGTTGACAGACGTTCCCTCCAGGACCTTCAAGGGCTAGAATTTAGGAAAAAGAAAGGTGACCTCGGAGGGAAGATTTGCGATGCAGAAAGGAAATAAGCAAAGGTGGTAACAAACATACAGGCAATCTAAACAAATGCCTGTATAATATAATAATGGTAATAATAATAATGTGAATTCTGAGTTCTAGAAAAGGGCAGAACTAAAAGAGCACGGGAGGGGAAGGTGGGAGTCAAAGTGTTCTAAGGTCCTCGAATTGTTTGAGAGGGTGTCTCGGATATTGCTGTTAGACTTTAAGCAAGCGTGTTAAAATGTCAAGGGCAATAAATAAAAGAATAGAATGTAAACTTCTAAGTAGAGGGGAACATGTAATATACCTAAAATCAGATCTTTATGAAGATTATAAAACTTCATTGAAAGACATTAAAGAAGACCTAACAGACAGAGAGATACAGTACGTAATGGATTGGCAGGCTCAGTTTTGTAAAGATGTCAAAATTGCCAAGTTGGTTTATGGATTCAGTGTAATTTCAATCAAGATGTCAACAGAGTATTTTAAGCAACCTCAAGAGCTAATTCTGAAAGTTATGGAAGGGCCAAGGCCAAGGACAGTCAGGAAGCCCTGAGGGAGAATCGAGGAGGCCCCAAGACATCCGCACCCTACAGGCCACACAATCTCCTGCCGGCATACTCCCGGACACAACTGGGGCTGTTTTCAATAGTTTCTGATTTTAAATTAGAAAAAGAAAGCAAGTAGCTTTATCACCGGATCAGTCAGCGTTGGTATATTCGCCTATCGGGATGTTTTCCAGCAGGGGAAATGGTTTCAGATCTAGACAGTGATGCGTATTATAGAAACAACTTTGAAAGAAGCAACTTGCAGAAGACAGCAGGATACCATTTTTATAAAACTTCAAATAAGCACAATGAAGCAATGTACTAGGTATGTAGAAAAGCGATTTGAAAAAAAACCTTTTAAAAAGCAAGGGCAGCCTGGCCGGGGTGGCTCAGTGGTTGAGCGTGGACCTAGGATCCAGGGGATCAGGGTTCGATTCCCGGTCAGGGCACATGCCGGGGTTGCAGGCCCCATCCCCAGACGGGGCGTGCAGGAGGCAGCCGATCAATGACCCTCTCATCATTGATGTTTCTCTCTCTCTCCCTTCCTCTCTCTGAAATCAATAAAGATATATTAAAAAAAAAAAAAAAAAAAGCAAGGGCATGATAGACACAAAGCGCAGGAGAGAGGTGACGGCTGGAGGGCAGGCGGGGAGATGGGCTGGGGAAGAGCACGGGTAGGAGGAGCCCCTGCGCAGAGGACCAGCCGGTTATCACCCAGGTTGCTGTACCCATGGGTGGAAATTTTATTATCACGTTTCGTAACTACATGTATTCTTTTGTATATGTTACATGGCATAGATAAATTAAAAATGCATCATGAAATATACATGGGAAAAAATACGTATAAAACTCTGAATCCTCAGGATTTTAATTCCTGAGCGAGCCTCCCCAGGCCCCCCAATCTGGCCTCAAGCGCTCTCTCCATATGTCGCTCCTCTGTCGGCTCCGTGACATTCAGCTTCTCAGCCACCCTGGATGCCACCTCCGAGCCTTTACGCAGCTGTTCTGAGCTACCCTGCACCCCTCGAGTGCCCCCCAGCCGCCCCTCCCTGCCTTTCCCCTCGGAGCCCTCCGCGCCCCTCCCGCGCCGT